AGGCTTACTTGCAGGTACAGAGAATATCTCTTAAACGCACACCGTTTATGAGATATTCCAATGTGTAGCAGCCCGTGACATCACCGGCTCATGTGCACTGCACTCTCAATGGATAGCCCACTCGAGTATGCCATCCATTGAGAGCACTGTGCAGTGATCATAGATCCTGTGCAAATGCGCGGGAGTGACGTAATCGCAGCATGGTCATTCAAACTGCTGGAGCCCTCGAAGAAGGGTTGCAGATGGAATTCCTAGAGCGATGGAGTGCGCTAAACAGTGCCATGGTAGTTAATTAAGAAAAACAAAGGTTGTCTGTAGTTGTAGTTTCCCATTCACACAATATTCTGAATGAGTGATGTGACTGAGTGAATTGTGGCAGCAGACATGTGGAAAGATCCCTGGTTTGCTGTCAGGGGTGGGAACAGCGGGAACTCAGGGGTGCGTAGGGGCAGCTACAGCAGTAACATGTTACATGTTGCATCCCAAATACGGGTGTAATATGTAACATATTAGAAAAGGTGAACTTATTCTTCAATACAATAAAAGAAATATGGTAGGACAAGTATAATTGTAAAAATACTGCCATATTAACTTAGAATAGGTGCTCGCTAAAAATATATTGCAATGTTCACTAGTATTAGACTAGTCATTTTCTACTGGACTTGTTCTGCAATGATGAAGCTGTTTCTTAGCTTATTCAACCCACGACTTCAGTTCTAATGAGGGTCTGGAACATTTATTTGCACATAGATAGTACGGATACCTTAATCCAATTACTATGGAATGTGTCAAGGCAGAAACTGATTGTCGAAGAACACGATAAGAGGTTTTGAATGTTGTGGTACCAACCTGTTCTAGTTACATAATTCCATCCTTGGTTCCAGGAAAACTGCAAAGGATTTACAGTAATTCTAGTAAACACCTTTTACTGAACAACTCAGTGGACAAAACCCCCATGCTTACATGGGAAGAACCAAAGAGTAACAAATGATCTTTTCTGGACTGTGTGATACATGCCAAGGAGAGAGATGGCATGGACAGGAAGCCTACACACAGGACATCTCAGGACTGCTTTGAAAGTTGTGTCTATCCATACTGGGCTTTTGTCTGGTATGTAGTGGGAGAAAGATCTTTAACAATATTGCATCCCGGTGTCTCTTAATATAGAGACAGAAGCTTTAACATCCTACACCCAAACACAAGGAAAGTAACTTAATGTATATTTGCAGTACAGTGTTGTAAGGAATACAAACAATCTGAACATCGGGGAGACAAAACAACCCCTCAACAACCAAATGGCCCAACATAGGATGGCAAATTCTAGAGGTCACGACTGCTAGTTTGAAGTTTTCTTACACCTTAAGGAAAAGGGACATTCTTTTGAAGACAGTGAGGTGCAGATTTTAGACAGAGAGGGCAACTGGTTCACAAACACAGGTGAAAGAGGCCATTTATGTCAAACTGGAACAACCATCCTTGAACAGGACACCATGGGGTTTATTTACTAAAGCTGGAGAGTCCAAAATCAGACTCCTTTCTGCATAGAAACCCATAAGCTTCTAACCTCAGCTTGTTCAATGAAGCTTTGGCAATGAAACCTGGAAGCTGATTGGTTTCTATGCAGAAGGTAGTCTGATTTTGGACTGTCCAGCTTTAGTAAATAAACCCCATCTGTCTTCTGCACATAATGTCTTTTTAACATTTGTACTTCAGTAATTTGAACATTCACACCTAAAAGGAGTAAATCAAAGGATCAGGGGAGTTTCATAGACCTCTGATACTTCTATAAGGAGGACCTGTCACCTGCCTATGCTATCGCAACGGAGGCTTGTTAGCCCCCTTGTGATAGCAAAAAAAAGTGAATGAAAAAATTAATAAAACAAATAAAAATAATATTTTTACTTTCAATAGATTTTCATTAAGATTTTAACAGAGTACAATGAATCACCATCAACAAGCTCAGTAATGAGAAACATAGGGCAACGTAGAACAAGGATCAAGTATGGATGCAGAGGAGTACATATATTCCACAAACATCTAGTTAGAGCCTTGTACTGCAGGAAAAGCTAAGAAAACATGGACAACATCCCCAAAGTAGCCCACAGTAATCTCCTCACAGGAAATACCAGACACCCTGCGTGTCCACTTCACGCACTCCACGCACCCAGTACCATACTATCAGAAAAGAAGAGGAAAAAAAGAGGGGGGGGGGGGGGGAGAGAAAAGAGAAGAGAAAGAGAGAGTCAGATAGACAGAAAGAAGTGTCCGGAGTAAGACGATCAGACATCTTACAATCCCGGACAACACTATCCAGTTATATGTGATATGTAAATATTCAGCCCAGGGTTCCCATTTACTTTCAAATCTAGCAACGGCATCATGAAGCATACTAACAGTGCTCTCCTGAATCATAATCCAAGTGACCTTCTTCTTCGCTTGGGCTACCGAGACAGTGGGTTGCTTCCATGCCCTAGTAATAGTAATTTATGCACCCAGTAGGACAAAAAACATCAAGCATTCTAGATGTCAAGGGGCATCCTTGACTCCTGCATTAAGCAAGGCCACAGAATGGGTCTGAGGAATAGGTAGCCCTGTGACTCTATGTAAAATGGCGAATATGCCATTCCAAAAGCCTCTTAACCGTGAACATTCCCACAATGGATCCAGTCATGCCACATCCCCTAAAACATAGAGGAGAGGCCGAGGTAAGTAGCTTAACATTAGCTTCTATCAAAGAGATATTCATAATACCAGAGAATTATCGTACAAATCGTTTGCGCCAAAGCATACAAGAAAATTTGGAAGGAGGGGCAAGTAGCAGTCCATCTATAAGAGAGAGACCCTCCCCCTGGCCAGTGTCCTGAGTGCACCATTTTTCATAAGGAGATACCCTATACTGTTCCAACTGATTAGGCTTGAGGGAATGCAAAAAAGTGTGAGATTCAGAGAAATTGAAACCGCTCAGTTTGGGGCATTTTTAGTACCTCGATACAATAGCGTAAAGTAAAAGGCCCTCTATGGGTAAAAAACTGTCCAATCTGATACAACCCTTTGTCAAGCTACCATTTAAATGCCTTAATATCCTGTCCTGGGGGAAATTTAGGATTATTGAAAATAAGAGCTAGCAGGTAGAATGGGGAGAACAATGCAGAGTTAGCCTTGAGCCTATCCCAAAGTGAAATCAACTGGGAAAGAGTCAGAGCCAAGATTGGTGGAGGGGACACCATAGAAAATAGTTAAGCGTATACCCTGGGACTGCCTGTCTTTCCATATAGACCCAATCCGGTTTATCCCTCCTCCTGTAAACTAGTGAAAGTTGGGCCAATTGAGCCACCTGATAATACTTATAAAAGTCCGGGAGTCCCAGCCTACCCCTAGTCTTAGGGCCGAAAAGGATCTTTCTAGCGAAACAGCTGCCCCTAATGTCCCAGATATGTTGAATAACTGAGGATTGGAATTTCTCCAATACTACACACGAAATAGGGATGGAGAGAGACCAAAAGTAGTACAGAAGTCATTTTAACTGAATGCAATCTGCCCAGCTGAGAGAGGATGGGCTGGCCATCGCTGAAGATCTGCCTCAAGCTTACAAAAAAGTGGTGGATAGTGAAAGGAATTGTCTTCTCGTTCCTCTCTGCACTGACTCCTGTCAGCCCCTGGCCTTGATCAGTAATTACCCCTCAGATCTGGAGCCCCTTTTGAGACACAGGAAAATGCACACAGACACAAGGTGGTATCTCAGAAGGAACTGAATTTATTCTTCCGTGTTTAAACTTATATATGAAACTTAAAACAATGCATAGAAATATAAGAACCAATCAATTGACAGGTATGCATTTAACCAATCAGAATATTACATACGTCAGTCATGCCCAATCAGTTGGCATATATGTTAATTATTATTATATACGTCAAGCATTAGTATAGAAAGTAGACAATTTCCCTATTTTAACACTGGCTAAAGTTATTAATACTCTTGCAACAGGATGTAGCCCACCACAAACTTTCAGTCTTGTGCTAGCTAAGGGAAAAAGGGGAAGTTACACCTGGACAAAAAGAGGAACTTTTTAACTCCTGACAAAATACTGTTTAAAACAAGAAAGTCAATTCTTTTAAAAATACTGACTTAAGATGGATACTGATTCTAAAATGGAAGGGCTTTGGCTCAGAGAGACAAGATGGCCGAGACATCAAACTTAAGGGCTAATCCCTTCAAACCCCCTCTTAGGTCACACACGTGACCTTACACCTTAGTCACAGGTTGGTACCTGGGGCCCTTAATAGGTAATCAGGGTTCCCCATATACCAAACCAGGTTTCAAATAAACTGACCAGTGGATTTTCTACTCCTGAGCTTTCAGCTAATTCTTCAAACAATATTTGGAGGTTGTGAAGGGCTCTAATAATACTTCCATCAGAAAACAGTGTTATGGGGAATAAGAGTACAACCGCAGGAGTTAAACATTTTACATACTTTCCCTTTATCAGCTAATAACATATCAAAAACAGTATGGTTCTACCAAACCTTTGTTAACCATAGCCAATGTAGTTAACGCAATCTACATTCCCGCTAAACTGTACCCATATAATACAGACAAATTCTGCAACAACATTACTATGTTCAAATCAGGCAAAATTTCCTGATACTGGTTTAGAGACTTAAAAGTAAATTATGTAATCTGGTAACAGGGAATTTTCTTAACCAAATCAGTACATTCCTTCTCAGTGATATTATCTTTGTACACTCTAATTAGACAGAACATATTAGTTTCTTTTTCCTGAAAAAGGGAACCAGTCTCAATGCTTAATCTATCTTTTGATTGCATCATTACTCCTGTATTTTCCTAGCCTCCAGGGCGAGCTGCCTGCGGCAGGGGCAGGGACTGTTAAAAGGAATTGGTGACGGTTGTTCTCTGAAAATACTTTTCCTAGCGGATTGGAAATGGCTAGTAACAAAACAATAGACAATGGGATCCATACAACTATTAAAACTACTCAAAGTTACTGTGACATGGTACACAATGAGGATGACATCCCGGACACCTCACTGCGGACACAGAAAACCACTTGACTAACATGAATGGGAGTGAAACAAACTGTGAAGATGACCAGCACCATTATGAGGAGCTGTACCGCCTTCACCCGTCTCTCTCGGCTTTGGTTCATTTGTATTGACTTGGACAAAGTCCACATGATCCGCAGGGTGTAGAAAACAACAATCACCAAAGGAACAAAATACTCAAAACCTGTCAGCATGAGTAGCTGGAAAAAACAACAATGTTTGTGGTTAATCGTTGTGGTCAGTATGATGAAAGTTACAATCACAGCAAATATCCAAATCAAAACACAGATGCATTTGGCATAACTGGGATTTCTCCATCTGCGTGAGGCTTTGGCTTGCACAATGGCCAGGTAGCGATCAACACAGATGCAGGTCAGGAAAAGAATACTACAGTACATGTTCACAGAGTACGTAAAACTGTGAACATAATAGCAAATATGACAGGTCTCTACATTACGGTAATACATAACAATTCGTGCTGGTAGAGAGAGACCCACTAAGAGGTCTGTCACTACCAAGTTAATGGTGTAAATAACAGAGGGTGTCCTTGCTTTGGTCTGAAAACAGAACACATAAAGGGCCAAACTGTTCAGTATTATGCCCATCAAAAAAATAGAAGAGTTGATAATTAGCAACGCCACCCAAAGGCCATAGAACCTTTGATGCAAGGTTTCACCTGGGTTGGCTTGTTGAGGGATTTGGAATTGTTTGTCATTTGCTATAGATTCATTCAGTTCAAGTTCTCTGGATGGGTTGAAGTTTCCAGGGCTGACGAAGCACTCCATGTGGTTCAGATCAATCTCTCAGGACTTCTCTGGCTGCTTCTTCTGTATCTGTGTCTTTGTCTTGCTTCTTAGGGGTATGGTTTACTCTTTTCACACATCTGGCATGGATCCAGGCCTTGGAATCCTCAGTCAGAACAGCGGTCCTAGTGACAGCGATCACGGAAGCGAGTTGGTTCCTGTGAAAAAAAGAGAAAGGTGCGAGCAACATTTCTTTCAACTTTGTCCAAAGTTTCAACAAAACTTTCTCACATATTCTTCCTGAATCAATCCTAAATCCCCTCTTTCTACCATGAGTGGCTGTCTGGCCCAGGGAGTGGGAAAGAGCCTATCCATTAAAACCTAAAAAAGGGGGGGGTAACCTGTCTTCTTAGAAGGAATCATAAAATATTGAACTCTGAGGGACCTCCACCTCCTTTTCCAAAAATATATTCCTACCATTGGCATGTGTGTAAAATCTACCTGTGGGCGGATAAAAAATGTTAATGTCTTGCCTTGTGAGGATTGTTCCTAATGTATGTAATGCATCTAGACACATATGATTTTACCATAAAGGGGGGGCCAGGGATGAAAAAATCCAGTAGTTCACATGTAACCTGCCATCCCCTGTGACCTATCCCATAATACTGTGAGCTGTGACCTACCCCATGATACTGTAAGATGAACAGAGGTGCACTAGCTTCTGGAATACATGGTCTCCCCTCTTGTGACACAAAGTCCAGTTAGTGGATCTTTTGGTCACACTAGCTGCATTCCACTTAATATCTTTAGAAGTAGCAAATGTACTGCAATATTTGATCTAACAGTGACATTTAAAATTGGAGCAGGATCTAAAGTGGGAGGAATATATTTTATTCTCAACTTGGGGTTTAACAACAGTATAACCTCATATTCACTAAATGGTGGTGTGTAAGGTGGTCTCATGTCCAAGAGTAAATGACATAGCCATTTGAATCACCATCACAAATAATAACAAACTTCTGAGACACACAGGCATGCCTTGAACCTGTACCAGAACCATCTTTGAGAAAAAACAAAACAAAAGGGCGGAGTGTACCTCCATGCTCCCCAAGCCAGGATTCCTGACATAGTTTTACAATTTTCCCTAACATACAGATGAAACATTTGATCATATGCGGGCAGACCAAGACCAGGGGCTATTACCATAGCATGTTTCAGATACACAAAAACATTACACATTGCAATTAACCATTTCACAAGATCTGACATTTCTAAACCTGTGGTTTGTCTCAAAATACTGTCATAGTAGGAACAGTCAGGTATCCATTGGCGGGCAGCAACCAATCATACCAAGAAAGGTAAGCATGTCTTTCTTGGTCAATGGGCGGGGCAGACCCATAAGAGGCGCAGCTCTCTTGTGACTGAATTTCCTATCACCTTTTGTGAGGACAAAAACCAAGGTATTCAACAGTTTCTTAACACCATTATAACTTTTTTCTTAGACACTTTATGATCACATATAAGATACACACTCCACCTGGCTGGCTGTCCGCACTGAAACCAACTAAACCATGGCTAGGAGTTCATGGCTTGGGGCCTGGAGGACTACAGTATAATCCTGGAGAAATTCACTCCAGATAAAACTTTTACTTCTAAAGTTAAAGGCAAAAATTAGCCATGTCTCCTTAACAACAGGAATTTGCTAAAAAAAAAATTTGTCAAATCAATCACTGTAAAAAAAAAAACAACTCGGCATCAGGTGGGATGGATGGAGGAAATGAGTATTGGTACATCAGGTACTATTGGGACAATGAGAGTTACAAGAGCATTTATAGTCCTCAGGTCCTGCACAAATCTGTAAGAACCGTCTGGCTTCTCAACTAAATTTATTGGGCTATTGTATGGTGAAATCACCTTTCCAAGGATTCTTGCCTTGAAACAAATGCTCCACCATGGGCACTATTCTTTTCCTCCTTTACTTTAAACAAAGGGCATTATTTATAAACACACAGTGTGGCCTTGTATTGGAGTGCAGGAAATGAATCCCACATCCAAGGAACTTTCTGCTCAAACTTTATATTGTTCCAGCAGAGAGTGAGGGATCATATTTCAATAAACACTGTCATAACAGGGACAGTTGGTATCCCGGCAGATTAAGCTACAATACCTCCTTTCCCAGAGTTTTAGATTAATACTAAGCTTTCCCAAGAGAACAAATCAACTGGACAATTGGGTATGATTTTGAATAAATGCTCTAGCAGCAAGCAAAAAAAAAACCTGAAAAAGCGGTGCTTTAAAAATGTTGGTGGGTTTCCCACCTGTTCTTATAGAGAGTTTTCCACTTTTTCAGCAGCGAATTCTCTCCACATACTGTTTCAGGTGGTGAACTCGGGATGTCTGTTACATCCAGACCATCACTCACCCTTAATATCAGGGAACCTGAACCAGAGGATTCTTCAACAAATAAATCCTCCTCAGTAATTGGAGTGACAGCAATTCCCCTGCTGCTTCATGTGTGGCAGAAGTCTGAACTACACTCTGAGAATCCTCGGGAGTTTGAACTGTAAAAGGCTGTGTGGCAGAAATTTGAACTGCACTAGTTATTTGGTGTGTCTGTGCAGATATTAAGACTGGTGATGCGGGAGGTGCAGTGGGAATGGGATTCTGGACTGCATAATGGTTGGTTAGAAAATCAACAATTTCCTCTGTAAGGGTGGGATAACCGTACAGTGGAGGGAGTAACATGAGAGGGTGTGTGGATCTGTCTATTTCTGACTCTAATGAATGTATCCTTGCTGCATCATTATTCCTAACTTCAGCCTTCTTTTGCCTCTTATTTTTCCTATAAAACCAGAGCGGAGCAAATGTCACCCAATTTTGTCCACCCCTGGCCATATATCTTGGGTCCCACATAGGGTCTCCCTCGTACCATGGAAATGCCTGTTTTTCTCCCAGACAAAGTCCCCTGACCATATCCATATGAAAAACATCATTATCACCACTATAGGGAAATGGATCCACACTGCCCATTACTTCACTCCATTCTGCTAATCTATCTACCCAGGGATGAATTAAAGAATAATCTGTCCCACAGATACGGGCTACATAATCTATACACGCTTCACCAACATTTGGGAGAGGGGGCTTATTCCTACTCTGACTTCTCCCCATATCTTACACTTGAATATATCTGTATCACAAATATGTCCTATAGGCTGTAATGACAATTTATCCTATAAAAATGCCTGGACCTAAGATACTTTCTCTAGTTTTTTTCTAGTGACTGATAAAAGTGAAGATTATAACCTGGGTGTACAATAATTTCTAATAATATTCTGCCAATCTTTTCTAACTTACAACACAATTTAAACAAAACATTTACATAGGCACCCAACTCAGCGTTGACAACTTCACCCAGATCATCAACCAATAAGGTTTAGCTGAAGGGGTGGAGCATGTCACACTGAAATTGACAATACCTTCAGTAACCGCTGGCCCATACACTTTACCACCTAGGCACTTGTGTCACACAAACAAATTATCTTATACTTCTATGTGATAGGAAGATAAGCAAAGAGTTGCAGGGCAATACTGATCAACCCCAGACTTTTTTCCTGGTTTCTTTCATCAAAGAAACACTTTTCAATCTCTTCTCATAAGAGACTTTGCAGTTCCCAAAACTGCCTCTAGTCTTTTTCAAAAGACCTTGTGCTCCCCACAGTACTCTGCGCCTGGCCACTGGCGTCTTATGACGCTGAGTCCAGTGCTACCATAGGGCATGAGATTTCAATCAGAGCCTTACCGGCAAGAGAGACTATTTGGCAAAATGACAAAAAATCTTACTTACCGAAAAGATGATTATCTCATCCCGGACACGAGCCCCCAATTGAAAGGAATTGTCTTCTCGTTCCTCTCTGCACTGACTCCCGTCAGCCCCTGGCCTTGATCAGTAATTACCCCTCAGATCTGGAGCCCCTTTTGAGACACAGGAAAATGCACACAGACACAAGGTGGTATCTCAGAAGGAACTGAATTTATTCTTCCGTGTTTAAACTTATATATGAAACTTAAAACAATGCATAGAAATATAAGAACCAATCAATTGACAGGTATGCATTTAACCAATCAGAATATTACATACGTCAGTCATGCCCAATCAGTTGGCATATATGTTAATTATTATTATATACGTCAAGCATTAGTATAGAAAGTAGACAATTTCCCTATTTTAACACTGGCTAAAGTTATTAATACTCTTGCAACAGGATGTAGCCCACCACAGACTTTCAGTCTTGTGCTAGCTAAGGGAAAAAGGGGAAGTTACACCTGGACAAAAAGAGGAACTTTTAACTCCTGACAAAATACCGTTTAAAACAAGAAAGTCAATTCTTTTAAAATACTGACTTAAGATGGATACTGATTCTAAAATGGAAGGGCTTTGGCTCAGAGAGACAAGATGGCCGAGACATCAAACTTAAGGGCTAATCCCTTCAGATAGTTAGCTCCATACAAAGATTCCATTTCAGCCATCAGCTTTATACCCAGATATGGGATATGAGAGTGTTAGGGAGCGAGGAGCCAGACACACAAGAAGGTGCAATTAAAGGTAGGTTTATTTACACAGAAACAAGGCAAGAGTCTATGCAAGTCTGACAGCAACAGCGGATGACTTGGTAGGACAGAAGTTCTCCTGCCGAGGTCGTCTTCCAGGATAAGCAAGTTGAGAACCAGCGGGAATCGTAGCCAAAGCTGGGGTCAGAAGCCAGGAAGAATCGTAGCCAAAGCTGGGGTCAGAAGCCAGGAAGAATGGTCGCCAGAGCCGGGGTCAGAAGACAGGAAGAATGGTCGCCAGAGCCGGGGTC